GTGTGTGTGTGTGTGTGTGTGTGTGTGTGTGTGTTTCTGCATGCTTGCTGGCACAAAATTCTCAGAGGTTTCTCAGTTCTTGTCAGACTTGTGCTTTGATCTTCCCAGAGTGGACCAAGCATAATTCACTTCTTTTACCGTTAGAGAGACCAACATAGCTAACACTCTGTCTCAACTCTCAGCAGAGGTGAACAAGTCAGAGCCACCTCCACAACTCAAAGCCAGAGTTCAGGTCTTCTGAAGTGGGGGTCAGTGGAAAGGTCACGATGTCAGGATCCTGGGTTTTTGTAGTTCATTCGTGCTTTTATTTATTTCACTTAGTGTTTTTCACACTCTTTTTTTATTGCTCCTTGTGTTTTCATTTAAAATTGAACTTTGTGCTATCAGCCTCTTTCCCACAGTCAGCCTCTGTTTCTCCCACTTACACCTGCTCCCTGTTGTCATTTTTGTTGTGTCCGCTCCACTTATCAGCCCCACTCCAGTTTCTAAACTGGTTTTGCCCTCATCCAGCAGTCCACCTTTGTGCTTCATGTGTGACCAGTTCTTCTTGGCGGCTCCTCAACTTTTTGTTTCCTTGCAGTTATTGCTGCCACATAAACTTTTTTGTTTCTTTAATGGGTTCCTGTTCAATCCTCACCAAAACTGGACATATAGAATGACAGTTTTTATCTTACCTGTTTTGGATATCTCTATCCACCCACTAGCTTAACAACCAAAAAGTAATAAATAAATAAATAAAATAAATAAATAAATAAATAAATAAACTTTCAGCAGTTCATGTGTCTCACAATGCCTACTAGTTTATTCCTTTACTCAGTCCTCGATATTGCACAATAACTGTTACCAAAACAAGCTGTCTAAAAGCATAGAAACAGTTCTTAAAAGTATTGATGTCAACTACTACTTTGTATTTTAGGACCATTTCCTGTTTCAGGTTTTTGCTTAAAAAATTATTATATATATAATGACTATATTTATACTGACATATAGCTGAAAATCCCTTTAATGTAACAAAGGCACTGGGTAAAGAAATACGATCACTGATGCAATGGTTCAACATAGAGGGGTAATCTAACAGTAAAGCTGAAACTATAGTTTTAACTTTCACTTTGTGATTTCATTTCAATAAAAACTACTAGATACTTTTTTTCCTTCTTTTTGGTGAGCAGTATGTGTAAAAAATGCACCTCAATTGGAAATACACTGTTGGGCTGTCACTAGTTGCAAGAGTTGCATTCAGTAGTTTGTCCATTTAAATTAAACTATAAATACATGTATGTAAAAATAACTGCCCATCCACACATTAACTTATCAAGCTGTTCTGAACTAAATTTTATTTCTCTCAAACTGAGGCCATCTACAACAGGTAAGATATTATTTGCTCAATCTTTCTTCAGAACCCAACTTCACAAAGATCTGAACGAACACTTTAATGTCTGCAGTGTTCACTAACAACAATTTTAACGTGCCTTTGTTTTGAAAAAATCTTTCTGTCAGGATATTTAAATTGATCTTTCAGGATGTTTGTGTGACAGGATATAATGTGATTTTATCTGCCTTTAAATTTTATCCACAAAAACAGCTCACTCAAGTACAAACAGGCATCTAATAAACACCTGACACTTGATTATCAGCAAGAGTGTTGATAGGGGTCTTAAATATGTTTTTGTTCTGCTCCCTTTGCGCCTGAGATCTACTAATTAGCCATGCTTTGTTAGTGTGATGGGCTAATGGCTAATTGCATTGTGGGGCCTCTGTGTGTACATGCAGTAATGACTTAACGCTCTAATAAGATTGAGTTACAGGCAGTTGGATCTGGGCTCCCCAAGCACTGATCTCAGGTCAGTGTAATGCTTTTCTCTCTAATGGTTATGATGGGAGGATGCAGGAAATAAACAGATCCTTTATCTCACACCAGAGACGTCTATCACTTACATCACCGTGCATGCTGACCACTTTCATCTTGTTCTTGTAAAATATGTATGTGTTTGATCTGTGTTAATGTGTATTTGAACCCAAAAATACTTTTTTTATGGCAAATATTTTGACTTAAAAGAGTAGGGAAAGCACAGGTGATTAAATTGGGCCTGCAGCTTTCCTCTCTGCTTCAGGATTTCTGAGTTCCCAGTCATTTCATATCCAGCTGCTCACGTGCTCCGACATTAACACACATGCACTCTCGTGTGTGGGATTGCAAGCAGTGCTGTGCCCCTGCTGAGGTGCAGCACATTGATCCTGTACTGATCTGCCACCGGCTCCCCGGGGATTTGTAACGCATGTCTGCGGCGCAGGGCTTAATGCACTCTCGCTCTCTTTCTGTCTTTGTCTTTCTCATTCTGTTCTCGTGTGCCGGCGCATCCTGTGCAGTGCAGCGGTCTCGCGCACCTGAACATCTTTCTTCGTCGTAATCTTGCAATAACAGTTGCCCTTCATCTTTCTGTTTTGGTTTTGGTTTTTTAATTTTCGGTTATTTTTTCTTTTGACTGAATTTATCATCTTTATTTTTAACTCTGGCTTTCTTTGTTATTTGTTTTTATCCCACAATCACTTTATCCTCACAGCAGTTTTTATTTCCTGTTTTTTGGAAAAAATTTTACTGTATTGTGTTGATTTACTGACAGATACGTTTGATACAATTAAGTTTGTAGAAACAGCTTCACAAACAGGAGTGACTGTCAGGGTGCTTGGATCTATGCATATTTTGTGTATTTGCCTAGGTGTGTGTGTGTTTGTGTGTGTGTGTGTGTGTGTGTGTGTGTGTGTGTGTGTGTGTGTGTGTG